GAGTCGAATATGAATGTTGGGGCTTGCGGATACTTGACTGACACCACACGAGCAGTATGGAGGCATGTCATGTTTTTTCTGTTCTTTTATTACGTCTGAATTGTAAGCCACCATTGACTTCAATTGTATTGGATTGTGCTGCAACTAAGGTTATCCCTGAGATTTCAGAACTGTTCTGCGTACTCAAACACTTCATCCACCCCTTCATCAGCTTGTTGTGAGTAGATAATGAGTGAATTTTCCCTAACTATCCCTTCAATTGCAGATAAACCAGGTGTGATAAACACAAAGTTTTCTAACTTCACTCTGCACCCTAGACTGTTTATAAAAAAGTCCTTGTACAAAACATCCAGCACACAAACAATAAAAAACTGACGGGATATTATAGGTCTCTTTGAGGAGGACTCATAAACAAGTATAATACTTCTAGTGTTAAATGCTAAAGGGAAGAAGAAAACATAGGTCAAACCTGTTCTGTAGGACAACAGCAGGACAGCAGCACCTTGCACTGTCCATTACTTAAATGAAATAGTCGTTGATTGTCATAGTGTAAATGAAACACAAAAAAAAGCGGTCTCATGTGCTGCTTCTCCCAGTCAGAGTAAGGATGAGCAGCAGTAAGTATCTTCATGAGATATAGAGAAAGAAGTCACAGTGACCTGACTCCCAATGAAACCACTGAGTAACATGTACTTTGTCTGCAGCCACTCACATCAAGCACACACAACCACTCTCAATGTGTTTGATCAGTTTCCACTCTGAGTGTGACTGAACATGTGTTTGTAGCTGCATCATTAATACAGGACAGCATTGGTGAATTCCCAAGCAATCCTACTGTATCCCTTCGTTTTGGGCTCTTACACTTGAAAGACGCACACAGACAGACACGCGCTTGTGACTTGTCCTTCCTATCTGGTGGCTGTGTGATATATCTGAGACCAATGATCTGTAGATTCACATCAGCATTAGGAGCAGAGAGTAGAGCAGTGTTCCAAAGCCATCCCTCTGATTTGCAAATTGGGTCGGGTTCGGAGGGTAAGGACCAAGCAGGATCTACAGTTCAGGTAAGTGGGTTGGGTGACGTGCCCCAGCCGGAAAATAGGAAGTAGAACTGAGGGATGGCCCGTGAAGCCAGATGGAGAAAGACAAGGAGAAGGGAACTTATGAATACAGTGTCAGACAACAGGATGGAGAGTGAGAAGAGGTGACAGACAGATAGAAGAAAATGAGATCCAATTTGACAGACTGATGGAGAAAAGACGGGGAAGACAGATTCCAAAATAGCTTAAATAAAAATGTGGCTACTGTCTGTTTAAATTGGTTCCTGGTAGCCAAGAACATCGTGAGAGTAGGGAAACATGATTCTCCACTATATGAGTGGACTCTGTTTTTGTTTTTGCATTTCAGAAAGAAAAAGTTAGCAATGATCTTGCTGAATGCATCATGTGTGACCAATCAGTGGCCTGTTACTCAAACTCTCTTTGTATCCAAATGCATTACACACAGCAGGAAGTCCACCAGTGCGATTTGTAAAAATGATCAAATATGTCTCTGTATTTTCAGTATGACCTCAACACACGCAGTACATTAAGTGATGAGTATGATCAACAACACAAAGATAACATGGACAGTTCACGTCTACACAATCAACTGTGAATTAACCTCTAGCTGCTATAATATGTGCTTTAATGATGGAAGAGAATGAGGAAGGAGGAAGAGTGGCATATTCTGTGTTGGGAGGTCAGGGTCGACAATACACTGGACTTTTCCACAGGTGACCACAGTTGGTTTCCTTTATCTGCAAGCCCCGGGTACAGATTATGCATCATTGCTTGTCTTCTTCATTTCGAAAAAGCTAATTCCAGGTTTGAATTCAGTTCCGAAGTTTATTTATTATAACTTTTTTTTCTTGCAAATGATAAAAGCTGTAAAATGATGCATAGGAATTTGAAAGAATATGGGTTGATTAACAGAGCTGATACTGAATAATTGATGACAAAATGCTATTGACCCCCCAGTAATAGCAAAAAGAATAAATCATATGACTCTATTAAATAGGATGGCAGGGTTGTATCATATGAGTATTATTGGATTTCTATTGAATACATTTCCTCTGGTGTCATATTCTTTATCCCAGACAGACGACAGATTACTACTCAGATAATCAGGAGGTCAGACGGTTGGGAGGTGCTGGTGGTGCAGTGAGATGTGGGTTAACAGCAGGCCATAAAGCAGTGCCAGCCTGGCATCGCCATGGTGATGGAGGGACCAGAACAGGCGTTGTCCCATTATTTCTGTTGAAGAATGGAAGAGGTATGTGTGTGTGTGTGTGTGTCAGACTGGGGAGGTGTGGGCTAGGGACAGATAAGGATGAAGGAAGAAAGAAAAGATGGAAAGAGGAAAAGAAAAAGAAAGACTAAAGGACGCAATGAAGCAAAGGAAGCTGAGACAGACAAGGTATGGAATTAAGAAAAAAGAAGGGAACAGAAATTGTAGGTGGGGGGCATAGAGCTTCCAGCTGGAGCTCATGTGAAAACACCCTTAGGCACGCACAAACACACACACACACA